GAGTTTCCATATTAGGTATCCGGCTCGACCTCACGTCATCTACTGCATTCAAGGCATACTTTTCATTAACAGACTGCAGCAAAGGTGGATGTGGTTATTACCTGTGGACTCGTTTGGCTCTTGCAAAAGTACTACGAGGTAGTCTGTGGTGGAGTTTATACTGTGTTCAGTATGTCGTGCAGAATGATATACCATGCCTCTGGAGTAATGCCCCTCTTCTGCCGACTTACAAGAAAAACCGTAGAGTCAAAGGCGAAGTTGATTCCATAGATTATCATGCCTTTTTCATTAACCTTCCCGCCATCCATCGCGACTCTTTGGAAAAGAAGAACTCATAGCCATCAAGGGATATAACGAAGCAGATAGACCGAAAAAAGAAGGAGAAGTACTATTCTACAAGGGCATTGAAGTAACCGGATCACAATCCTGCGAGGCAGGCTTAATTGAAGTATAGAAATCAATCTAGTTATATTTCCGGAGCTGCGGGAGAGGTCAGTACTTGAAATGGCGGCTGGAAGAATGAAGGCAAACTTACATCAAGTGTCAAGGATTTACTGCTGTTTTCGACCTGGTCTCGGTAGATACCAACCAGTGCTTCACTGTTCTGGAACAGTCCAGTCTTCAAGCTGATGACGATGAACTGCATGCCAGGGGCCGCATGGTCGTGGATATAGTTGGCGATGCGAGCCACATTGGTATTGTCAAGGGCAGCGTCAACCTCGTCCAGCACAAAGAAGGGTGATGGCTGGTAAGAATGGATAGCAAAGAGCAAAGCCAGCGCAGCCATAGTCTTCTCACCGCCGGATAGATGCTCCATGTCCCGGAAACGCTTGAGAGGAGGCATGGCGTGATATTTGATACCATCTAGGTATGGCTCGTCAGAGTCCTCAATGTCCAAGTACCTATGGTTCAAGATTCAGTTAGGGCAACAAAAATTATATCTGCAGAACAAAAACTTACGCCTGCCCTCCCAATGGATAATTGGCACTGCGAGTCAGCTCACGGTAGATGGGCCCAATTTGCTCCGAGATGTGAGAGAACGCTTTGTTGAAGAGATCGGATCGCTTTCGCATAACCTCCTCAAAATCTTCTTTGGCCTTCCGAGCCCGTTTGCGTGCTTCATCGAAGTCCTTCTCAGTGCTTCGCAGTTTATTCTCAACGCTTTCTAGACGCTCCATCGCACGTGTATTCGGCGCCATCTTGTCCAACTCGCTGTTGAGAGTTTTGATTCTGTCGAGCAGTTCCTCTTCGACCTTTTCGTCGCCCTCCTGTTTCTGATGAGTTCTTGTTCGATGTGACCCGGTGCGATAGTACTTACCTCCTTGAGAGACTCCCCTAGCGAGTCAAAATCGACTTCAATACCGTAGTCTTGCACTATACCACTTCCGTCATTGGCCTCCTCATCAACGTCCATGGCATCGGGGTCGGCTGTCTGAACAATGTCATCGATAGGCAGTTGGTCAAGCGATTTAGAGTTTTCCGTGAGAGGTATGTTGATATCCTCGAGTTTGCAGCGCCTTAGAACAGCATATCGGCTGGACGAGTTACGCTGGATTTCGGCCTCCAAGGCGCTAACATTCTTTAGGATGCCTTCAACGTCCTTGCTGCGTCTCTGAAGTTCTCTGCGCTGCCTTGCGAGGTTCTCCGCTGATTGTGCATAAGCCTCCTTCTGTTCCTGCAGTCGTTCCCTAAGAACATCCAGCTCAGCATTGTATTCATCCAGCTGATTCCGGATTTGCTCTTGTTCGGCTTTGAGTTCCTCGATTAGACTCTCATCCCGTTCATGTTGTGCCTGAAGGCTGGCAATTCTATCGTTCGTCGCCTGAAGTCGTTGCCTCTCGAAGCTGAGTTGATTCTCAATCCTACTCTTCTGCGTCGTGAACTCCAGCTTTTTCTGAGCGGCCTCCTCTTGCAAAGAGCCTTGTTGGACCTCGTATTCACGAATGTTAGCGTAACCAAGACGCTTGCAAAATTTGCGGTAGATTTCGTCCTCAATGCTGCTGACAGACTCTTGCGATTGCGCGATGGTCTGGTCGAGTTCCTCCAGAGCTTCCTGGCGCTCCATGTATTTGGGCCGCAAGTCTTCGAGCTGTCGCTTCACGAAATCCAATTCCGTGCGCTTGCTCTTGAGGTTTCTTTCGAGAGCCTTGAGCTCCTCTTGCGCGTAGGCTAGGCGCTGCTCCAGACCCACCAATTCACCTTGCAAAGTCTCTTCTTCAGTGCCTCTGCGATGGCCCTTGGGCAGATTGGCGAGGTCGGCCATCAGTTTGTCCTTGAGCTTGTGAAGATTCTCAACCTCGGAGTCCTCCCATCTCTTGGAATTTTGTTGAGGGCCTCTACCACCAGTCATCAAACCTCCCTTGTGGATCACAGTTCCATCGAGTGTGACGGCTTTTGCGTCTACGTTTCTCTCATAGCAAAGGTACTTGGCTGTCGCCAAATCATCACAAACAATGGCGTTTCCACAGGCATAGCTGATGGCCCTTGCAACGGAGTCATCATAGTCCACCGTTTCAATAGCTGGGCGCATTCCTCGGTGGATGCCTTTCAGATTTGAGTTGAAAGCTTTGACTTGGATGGTCTCCAGAGGGATAAAGGTTGCCTGGCCGGCTCTCTGGTCTCGGAGGTGCTGGATGCACTCCTTGGCGGTCTTCTCATTATCGACGACGATGGCATCGAAGTGACGACCGAGCACCGTGCTGACGGCTTCGGCATACTTCTTCTGCTTAGGTCTGCAAAGATCACTGACACGGCCCTTCACACCAGGAAAGATGCGCTTCAAGGTCGAGATCAGCTCCTTAGCTCTTAATTCCCTCTCTGTTTGCTTCTTGCCATCATCGGCCTCAAGAAGCTTTTTCAAGACGACCTGAACTTTCTCCTCAAGTTCTGTCCTCATCTGGGAGATGCGCAGGCGCTCGGAGGTAAGCGCGTTCAATTCCTTCTTCTTGCGGTCAATCTCCTTAGAAGTGGTCTTGACTGTGTCATTCAAAGCTGACTTGCGCTCCGTCAAGGTCTGCGTATCAGTTTCTAAGCTCTTGAGTTGCCACTCCGTTGAGTCAAACTTGCTCTTCAAACTGTTGTAGGCCTCGGCTTCCGTCTTTCTCTGGCGCCTTAGATTGTCGAGATTGATTTGCTCCGCAGACGATCGCTTGCTGACTTCCTCTTTGAGCATTTTGTACTCCTGCTGGTCTGATTCGCTCAGTTGACCGCCCTTTTTACTCATTGTCTTATGCCATTCAGCCTCCCATTGGGCCTGAGCTTTTTCGACGACTTTGAGGTTCTTCTCCAATTGTTTCACATTGGCCGCCTGAGAATCACGTTCCTTGCCAATTTCGGCAATCCGAGAGGCGAACCTCTCTACCTTTTTCCTGGTGATATCAACCTTCTCGTCCACAGGGACCAAGGCATTGGTCGCCTCTTCGATGTCTTTCTCCTTCTTAATAATATTTCTCTCTGCCTTGGCCACATCTCTGCCGACCTTCGCATGCTCTACCTTGGCGCTCTCGACATTTTTCTCGTATTTCTCAACTCCGCGACGATATTCCTTGAGTTCCTCTTGGTACTTCTGGATATCCGCGCTGGACGCGTCAATCAACCGCTGGAAATGGAAAAGCTTCCAGAGAATGTGAGTGATCTCGGCCTGATCACGTTCCTCTGCCTTCCTAGCATAGTTCTCGGCCTCACGCTTCTGCTCCTGGTATTGCTTAATTTCAGAATTGATACCTCTCCGTCGGTTGAGCTGGATAGTCTGTTGCTCGGCTGCCTCCTCAGCTTCCGCTTTAAGACGTTCATATTCAGCTTTGTATTCAAGACTTCCCGAAATCTGCTCAATCAACCGCGTCAAGTCCTTGGGAGACTGCGAAGCAATCGCCTCAACGTCGCCCTGGAAGACAAGGAAATTGCGCGCTTTGATCAGAATATTTTCCGCCTCGAGAGCCTCGTTGTACTGTTGCGCCGTCACGATGCGATTGTTGATCCGGTATTCGCTAACGCCGGAGCTTGTGATCGACCGTCGCCATTGCTGCTCCTCGCCCGCATCATCCTCGTACACGGCCATGACCCATGCGGTTTTTGGGTCATACGATCCACTGGGATCCTGCGATTCCTCCCCGTCGACTCCGTCATCGTTTTGTTCTTCTCCGTTCGGTACAGCATCGGTTGCGTTGCCGTCAGCGTCGACTTTCGAGGTGCGCAGGACGCGGCCACGGTAGACGAGATCGCGTAGATTCGTAGATCGCAGATGTGAGGATTTTATTCCCAAGACGAAAGAAATTGCATCCATCCTAAATTTCGTCAGCGCGGAAAGGACGCTGTGGCGGATGTTTATGTGATACGCACGAGTTGGACTTCCCAGACCCATTAGGTCCGATAATGGATGTGAAGTAGGCATCTCCAAACAGCAAAACATGATGTCCCTTGTAGGACTTGAAATCTAAGGAATGGGTTAGCACTATCCGCCGACGGAGTGATTGTATTATTCCGTACTGAAAAGCTCAAGGCGAATAAGTTTCCCCATCTTGCGATAAGGCAGCCGCTGTCTCGCGACTGCAGAAGCAAAATTGAAGTCTCAAAATGGGAATGAAGACGCCCGCGCCGATTCACTCAGCAATATAGCTGCAGCGATGGAGCAGCGACTGACAAGAGTGTTTGGATGACCCCGCGCGATAGTTGACTATCATGGAGTCGCGTCTCGGAGCCTCAGGACGCGCTGCCGTTGCACGGTGACATATCACGTGCTTCATGGCCGTCTCAACTCTCAACCACTACGAAAAAAGGGATTCACCTCTCTGTTTGTTCTCATTTAACATCTCATTCGAAATTTAATTTACATCTATGTACATACGATCTTTGCCGCAAAAATTCGTGATGGCAGAAGGCCAAGAAAGCACCTCGACGCGGTATCCAAGGCTTGAAAGCAGAAAGTGAGAAGCTTTGTAGTTAAAACATTTGAGAAGAAAGATAACTCTGAGAACGCCTTTCCTCGTCACGCGAGAAATATGCTAATAGCTTCTGATGCTCACCGGGTTCCCAATCACCAGGAAATCCTCGGAGATGTACCCGGCCGAATCCATTCGGAAAACACCCTTTTGACCCTCGACTTCCAGGAGGATGATATCCTCCTGTGTGAAAAGTTGTCGGACAGACCGGAAACCCTTCCAAAAGACCTGGCTAATCTTCGTCAAAGGCGCTCTGTAGATGCTCACCTTAGCCGGTTGAGCGTTTGGAGTCGTCTGTGGTTTGAGCGATTCAGGGGAGATGACCAGACGCCGAGAGAAGGCTATTTGGCGAGGTAGGGCATCAAAGTGGTATGGCTTTCGGAAAGGAATCATGCTTCGAACAGTGAAGCGAAGGTATGTCTTGCCATTCAAGTGAATGGCATTGACGGCCTTGATCAACCGCGCAGTCTTGACAATGAAAACTGTTCCCATGACACTCATCATGACACAAATGCCACCAAATAGACTCTTCTGCCACATCGGCAGAGCTACAACTGGGTCTCCGAACACGATGCTCGAGTTGTAGACCGAGTAGGCCAAGCAGAATGCTGCGATACCGTAAGCACCCAACACATAGAAGCGATGTGACGGTGCCTTAAAAAGTAACAAGTCGCCCTCTTTCGCAACCTTCCGTTCTAGTTTGCCGAATCCCTCTGGCCGTCTCCCCGCAAATTTGAGCGTTTCTTGCGATGGTTTTGAAGGATTACGGGGTGCCGTGGGCTTGACACTAGCCTTGGCCCGAGGAGCACATGAAGAGAAATATCTCCATGTCGGTAATGACTGCGGGCCTAGTAATATTGGTGTTCTAGGACAATGTTGTGCGAATGCCCGAAAGGCATAAGACCTGGGAATCATTGTAGTGCCTAATCACATCACGTTAGCAGAGAGCTCCTGTAAGGAGAATCAAGCAATTAGAGAGACGCTATCAGCACCGCGAAGAGCGCATCTGCGAGAAGACCAATCGGCAGGGATTGGACGACTGACCTTGAGATCAAGTTCAAACTTCCGTTGCTCTCCCCGTCGTCAATTTCCGCTCGCATCGCAATACTCCGGTCGTTCTCCGCGGCAGAAAAATGTTCCCGTCCGGGCCGCCGGTGAGCTCCCAACAACCTCAACATCTAGAGCAAGAACAAACAGATCTTATCGCGGTTGATCCTGCCTAGATGGATCTCTACGTCTAACATTGAAACACGTTCTACTATTTGCAGCAGCTAGATCAATCAGGGATTCTGTGCGGCTCAATCGACGGGGTACAACCTCGCGTTCGTCTCAAGCCCTTCCGAATCCAGCTTCAGCGCCAAGCGCTCTCGGAGGTACATTTCGATCAGAAACGGTACATTTGAGCCATATCAAGCCGCAAGATCGAGCAAGATGGCTTCCAGCTTCCCCGTGCGCCGTGTGTCAGCATTGGTTGCCAGACGGCAACCCCGGGTAATCAGCACCACCAGACGTAAGTGACCCAGCGCCCTCAAACGCAATTCAAGCGGGTGGGATCTGGAAATAGTCCAATACGCGATGACACCCCAAGTATACTAGAATGCAATCTACAGGTGCTAACTGCGAAATCGATAGGCCTCAACTCTTCCTCTTCAGTCCAGACACAGAACCCCGTCTATCCCCTCTATCCCTCCGTCCAACTGCTCCTCCATGAAAAGGGCATCCCAGAATCCGAAATCTCCAAGATTCCCGCCTCCGGTCCGAAAGGCCGTCTTCTCAAGGGTGATGTTCTCGCCTACATTGGCGCCATCCCCGCCGACTACCCATCCAGCCAAGCCTCGCGCCTCGAGAAGCTCTCCCACCTCGACCTAAGCAACATCAAGATCGCAGCTCCACAACCTGCCGAGACCAAGGCCCCAGTTGTCGAGGAACCCATCACCAGAACCCCACCCACAGTCTCAGTAGCCGTTTCCATCTCCCTGGCTACTGTGCTCTCCGTCCAAAAGAAGATCAAGGAAACGATCGGCGTCACCGTGCCGCTATCGACTTTCCTTGCCCGTGCCACCGACCTGGCGAACGACGACCTCCCCCGTTCCCCCCGCAGCAAGCCATCGGCAGACGAGCTCTTTGATGAGATTCTCGGCGCTGAGCCCATCAAGACATCCCGGGGCGATTACGTTCCCGAGCTGAATGCCCTGGAGGCAGCTGAATATCAGCCCGCTCAGCCCGTCAAGGAAGACATCATCGATATCCTCAGCGGCAAGGTTCCGAAGAGGGCGCCCCGTAAGGCATCCATGGAGGAATATCCCGCCGGCTCTGCCGCGAATGTGTTTAGTTTGACCGTTCCTGTTGGTGATGAGACGAGGGCTAGGGTCTTCTTGGACCGGGTGAAGACCCTGTTGACAGTGGAGCCTGGAAGGCTTGTCCTATAGATCTCTAATTCATATACCTGTTCCAAGTAAGTAGTCAAAATAATCAGCGATTTTCTCCTATCACATATTTAATTGTCTTTCAGTGTAGCTTTAATAAGATAAATATACAATTTATCCATGTACCGTAGCATTAGCATTTCTAATTTTGCAAAGACAATCATTTCACACCATCTTAGAATGTCTTTAGTGTAGGCTCTGACTACAATTAGTCAGTTTTTCACGGTATCACAAACTTCTTCTCAGCTTCTCTCCTCCTAAAGAGCCGTATGCAATCCATTTATCTGCCAAGAGCAAGAAAGCACTACCAAGGAGCTCCAAGTGTCATGCAATTGTATGTCTCATGTCATCATCGTTTTAGCAGAGATAAAGATACGGCTATCACCATGCAAGTATGAGCGAAAAGAGTTCATTCTGGGGCCGTTGAAGCCCATCCGTCCCATGAGCAACACCAGTCCCTCCCACCTGTGTGAACACCATGAGCGCCACCGCTTATACCATTTCAGAAAGAGTTAAGAATATCCTGCTCGAGGCCAGATGCATAACAAAGATGGCCTGAGACGCGAAGCAGAGCGTGGGAAGAAAAGAAGTGCAGAAGAGCAAAGTCGACGAAAGTACATGCCAGGAAGATGTGATGAGATGGAAGAAAAAGAGAAGCACCTGGTCCCCACGTTGAAAATGCTGTAGACCCACGAACAAAATGCGAAAAGATGCCAAAGAAGCGAAAACTCCTCCCTTAAACAGACCAAAAGTACCCCCAGGATTGCTACAACGCCAATGTCCTGGAACGCCGTGTCTAATGCATATGTGAAAACCATGCGGGGATGTGAAAGATGCTGCAGGGTCATGATAACCTCGAGTCCTAACGCCGGTACTACCGAATCGTACCCCATTCCGCTAGCTTGCCGCCCTCCCGTCCATGCTCTCTTCCTGATCTCTTGTTGAAAATCTTCCAGAATCTCAACGTTTCGTCACCGGCTCCGGTAACGACGGTCTGTCCATCGGGGCTCATCGCAAGGTAGAGAACACGGAAAGTGTGGCCGGTTAGCGATACAATCTGCTCCATGCGCGGGTATTTCCAGATTACAATCTGGTTCTGACTGTAGCCGTGTGTACTGATGATTTCGTCCGAGTTCTTCGACCACGCCAGGTTACAGACCTGGCTACCCGTATCAACTTCCTTGATCATTGAACCAGTAGCAGTGTTCCAAAATTTGATGGTCCGATCCGCCGTGCCTCCACCTGAGGCGAGGAGATGGTGTTGATGGGGTGACCAGGCGATGGCCTTTACGGCCGCGGTATGGTCCGAGAAGCGATAGAGCGGTGTCTCATTCAGCTTGTCCCACACCATGAGTTTGTTGTCATTTCCGCCTGAAGCTAGTTGGCCATCTTCGGTGTTCCATCGGAGACCGCAAACTTCCTGCTTATGGCCGGACAGTCGACGTAAATACTGATCTGGGGAGCGAACATCACGGTGAAAGATCAGCCGATCCCGAGAACCTGACGTAAGGATATGATCGTTCCAAGCAAGAGCCCCTACACGATTGGTATGTCCAATCATTGTCCGAAGACGGCGACAGTGCTCTGCATCCCATATCTGTACAAAACCTTTGCCAGTTCCTATCGAAAGATGTGTGCCCTGTCCAATATCAGTCATGAAACACATAATCATTGCCAAAATATAGAGAGATCTCATTACCCTCTGAATCCAGCTGACACTTGTGACAGTATCATCTCTCAGCTCGCAAAGTTTCGTCACCCGGCCGGTATTCGAATTCCACATGTACACTGAATTGCCTAGGCCAACACCTAGCACATTACTACTGCCCCAGTCCACCAGATTCAAGTAGAAATCATCTTGCAAATCGGGTGCGTCGAGAACCTTATAGGGTACTTTATTAACGTAGCGAGGCTGCTTGCGAGGAGTCTCAAGGATACGTTGACTGTCGTATCTGATCGGCGATAGACTGTAAAGTTCTGATCGCACATTTAAGTTGGGTCCATGTTGACTTCGGGGCGTCTTGGATGGTGTTGGTTGACCAGATCCAATTCTTGGAGAAGCGTAAGTGAACAGGTTTTTGTGAGGCGTCGATGGCGTGATACTGGCGGGCGGTAGGTTCGAGATGGCGTGTGAAGGGGGTGTGTGAGAGCGTGTCTTCTCATTGATACCGTTGGGAATTCCCAATAGTGGATCAGGAGACAGTGAATCCAGATCAGCCTGTGGGACGGTGTTTCCAAAAAGTTCACTTCTGAGTACGCGCGAGTACATTCTATTCGCTTCTTCCGCTACAAGCAACGTCAGATCCAGGTACGTCAATCAGGGTCCCGTGGTAAACATACTTTTTTGGAAGTGAAGCTCTGAGTGAGGGGCGCGCTTTTTCGTTTTGGAAGGAGTAGAGGGACATCCATCTTCATGAAGCAAGCTATAAGTTGCTTGTAGATCTTGCCCCTCGCGATTCGGTATAAACCTGCGGACGCCTACGGTCAGTCATCGCCCATCAAAGAGACAATACAATGTATCATGATGCTCACCGATCGCCGTATACTCGTTGTCTTTTCCTACTGGGGCTTGTTCCAGGGGTTCTTTCCCGAGGACGCCCTGCATCTTCGTACTCCTTCAAAGCCTTCGCCAGCAAGTTGGGATCAACGGGTTCGGAACTGCTGTGACTTTTCTGCCTTCTTGCCGATGTAGCGGGATAGAAAAGCGTCTTCTTCGATGGCATGCTGGGAGGCGTCCTTGATCCGGGAGGTGATGCGATATTCAAGGCATCGGGGGCTCTCTCCGACGATCTCATTGTGGATTTCGCGGCCATTGCGCCAGCAGCCGCCAGGGAATCTGGGCCTTTGTTGTTGTCGCCCATACTCACAAACGTAGTTTCTATTCGGAGTGCAAGCGCTCGAGGTTGGTATCGACTGTAGGAGAGACCGGCGAGGCGATGCGACAGGTTCCAGGTGTCCGGTGACGATGTGGAGAGGTATATAGAAACCGTATGATGGTGCGCTTTCAAGCCGATGAGCGACGGACAGTCTTTCTAATTGGATCGCAGGTTGTCCTAAGAGCTGGTGGTTCGTAGAATAAATAAGGTTGTTGGTAGCAACGGCCAAGTCCTTCTGCTCCGCTCCGAACAATAAATAACTGAAGGCAGGCGACTGAGGGAGCGACAAATAGCGGGCAGGGTACCATTCACTTCTCTCACCAGACCCAAGGCTGATTTGTCGGAATCTGGTAGCTTGTGGAGGTCATTTGAAAGCGACCTGACCACTGTCTGGTGAGCTATGAGAGACTGATAAGTAGCGAAAGCAATCCAAGGGCGGGCTACGGGCTCTCTCTTTTGGGGGGTGACGGAGTTTCGAAGGGGATTCCATCCCTCCCAGTCACGCGTCGGGAGCACTAAGCCTATCTGGGACAGAGGAGGTTGGCTGATGGATCAACGTGTTGCGATTATCTTTGTTGATATTGCCATTTATCCCTAAGTCTAAGATTTGTCGCAGAATGAGGAACTACTGTAGAAACTATGTCAATGAGCTTGTTCAAGCCTGACTTGGTTATTAAGTAGTTCACTGTTGTTGTTATGTTGGCTAACCATGTAGTGAGCACACAGATCACTCAGTTGTACGGAGTTATACATCTGCGCCCACAGTAACACTGGTTACAATAACACAGTCCCGTACTA